TCCCGTCCTTTCCTGGGGTCCCCTCCTCTCCGGGACCCGCCCCGCCATTGCTTAGTGTGTGGTGGGACTGGAGGCGTCTGTCCTGGGGTGAGGGGATGGCCTGGGGTGAAGAGGCGGTGTTGTGGTTAGGAGTCTCGTAGTTTAGGGGAGGGCAAGTTGGTCCTGTGAGGGTGTTTTCCTCCCCTGAAACTGATCCATACCGCCACCTTGTGTACAGGTTTTTGCTTTGTGATTTGATGATTACAACGTTTTACATCTGCCCCCTGTCGTGGAGGTGTATATTAGACCATCCCTTTCATAGGCCTTGTTCCTGCTCTAGGTATTTGGCACTCAAGATTTTAATGTTCCTGTATGAGTTATTTGTGTGTTTGTAAAGTTAAACTGAGCATTTTGTTGTTGAACTATGGAACTTGCTTCTTGACTTTTTCTAATTTTCAGATGAATTTATACTGTCACTATTTCTCTCTCTCTCTCTCTTTTTTTTTTTTTTTTTTTTTTTTTTTTTTTTTTTTATTTTTTTTTTTTTTTTTTTTTGGTATACTTGTCCTCTACCCAAGCCTGTTTTTATTGGTTTTAAAAAATAAATAAACTTTAAAATAATTTGACTGATGGTCTGCCTGTTTTTATATTTTGAGGTCAGAATTTCCTGCACAGGTTGTCTTAAAGTTTCTGAAATTGAGTGGCCTTTTTTCTGAGGTAAGGGCGGGGATGTGGAGAAGTAAGGCTATATTGCAAGGCATTGCAATCCAGTTGTGTTTGCCAAATGCTGACCTTGATTCTGACAAGACTCCCTGGGGCTGGGCGCAGGGCTCTGTGTGATGCTTGCCTAGCCTGGGAAGGGCTAAGTTCAAGCCCTGGGGGGTGGATCTTGCTGTTCTCTGGAACCCTAAAAAGCCGCCTGACTGTGTCCTCCAGGTGGTGAGGGTGTGGACCCGTAAGAATGGCCTGAAAAGAGGGGAAGGGTCCCATGGAAATAACTTGACAGCTGGTACAGGTACAAGCCCTGGCTTCCGGAGTTGGCGTGCTGAACTTTAAGGTGCTCTTAACTACTCTGACGCCTTGCAACTCTCCAAGTGGAAATTTAGGCCATTGCTTGTCTTGTCATTTCTGAAAGGATACCCAGATATAATCTCTTAGGCTTTAAATACTTCTCTGAATGGGCCAGGGATTTAGTTGGTTTGCTGTCTTGCAAGCCCAAGGTCCCGAGTTCGATCCCTGGTACCAAAAAAATTTTTTTTGTACTTTTACATAATCTAAGATGGGTGTGGTGGTGCATGCCTGTAATCCCAGCACTCGGAAGGCTGAGGCAGGAGGATCTCTGTGTTCAAGAACAGCCTGGGCTACATAGTGAGTTCTAGGGTAGTATGAACTACACAGACCCTGTCTCAAAAATAAATACTCCACTGAACATGTCAGGGAGGTTTCACTGGAGAATCTAGTGCCTCAATAATAGCAGAACACTGGGGCCTTCTATGTGTTACTGTTGATTAATGTTCTACATTTTCTTAGGTATTGCTGACTTAACATTAGGGGAACCTAAAAGTTACTAGCATAAAAAAAGTTACTAGCTTAACTAAAGCTACTTAAAGGTTAGTGGAAGAAATCTGGCTGATTTCTGAAACACTGTTTAAACAAAAATGTTTGAACCTGGGTTCCAACTCAACTTAAGGTTTTGTGGTGCAGTCCCAAGTGTACTTAGCTTTGTTTATGTGTGTGTGGTTCTAGGTTGTATTTGTACACTAGGTTTTTTGTTTTGGGGGGGGTTTGAGACAGGGTCTCACAGTGTAGTTGAGACTGAACTGGAACTCACCATGTAACTCAGGCTGGTCTCGAACTCACAGCGATCCTCCTGCCTCAGCCTCCCGAGTGCTGGGATTACAGGCGTGAGCCACCATGCCCGGCCTACACTAGGTTTTATAGTCAGTTATCTCCTTTGACTCTTTTTTAACCCAGGTAAAGAATTTCTTTTTAATATAGAACCAAAAGCACAGGCAGCACAAGCAAAAATAGAAAATAGCATTACATCAAACTAAGGAAACAGTGAAGAGCCAGCCTGCAGATTAGAAGAAAATATTTGCCGAACCAGAAGGGGTTAGTATGCATAATACAGAAGGAGTTCAAGTGATTAAATAGTAAGAAAACAACTGTACTAAGAACCAGTGAAGCCAGGTGTGGTAGTGCACACCTGTAATCCCAGCACTAGGGAGGCTGAGGCAGGAGGATCGCTGTGAGTTCAAGACC